TGCTGCGGGACTTTTGAAGGTTTTAAGGCCTGGCCAAAACGTGCCATGTAGCAGTTTCGAAGCCCAATAGAAACAGTTTGTAGGGCCTATGGGGAGGTACGATGGCAAAGCAAGCGGAGGGTTGCCATGGCAATGGTAAAGCCGGCACGAGCCATGCTGCACACCTACGGTGATCCCGGGCGCCGCCCCGCCTAGGCCAAGGCTAGGCAGGGGTCGGCGGATATACATATCTATAGAGATATATGACCATTTGTCAAAAATAGTTGTTTAGAAGTTTAGTATTGGTTGTTGATAAGTCATCTGGATCTACTGTTTTTTCCTCTTCGTTATGAGGCGGCACGCAACTAAATTCAGCAATTCTGTAAGGCAGCGCTAGCAAACCCGCTAGGTTTGCGCTAGGTTTGATTGACAACCATGGCCTCCATGTCGTGAATGTTTTGCCAGCTTTTCTTACAAGTTTGTCAGTTTCCACATATTCCCAAATTTTCGATTTTTTTTACGTATTTTACGCGCTAGATTCCCGCTAGCAACGCGCTAGCGAAAATTGCAAATACATGCCCCGGTCCACCCACAGCCCAGTCAGAGGCACAGTTCACGCTTTGGTAGCTGACAGTAAGGAAACAGCGTTGATCAGGAGGCATGTCAAGAAGCATATTGCATTCAGAGAGGCACACGCACAGAGACACACAGTTCAGGAGATAGTACCAGCGACAGTGAATGAAAACCGACGTGCGTTAGCCGATTCCTGTGGTTTTAGAAAGATTTCCAAAGGCAACGAAGAATTTCCACGTTTTCACGTCATCAAGGTAGGTCATATTTTTTAAAGGCAAACATGAGGCGGCACGCATGGAATTGCGATTTATCAACAAAACCGGGAACAGACTTTTTGACAAACCGTCATATATATATACATATATAGATAAATAAATAAATCTGGAGGACTTGAAAGGACACCCGTGAGAAGTGGATAAGGACCCCAAGGATGACATGGGCGGTTAAGTCCTTAACAAAGCTCTGCCAATATCCACATACTCGTAAGGCCAATAAGACTCAGTAAGATCCTTGTTATCTACAGCACTCGTAGCTCTAGATAATCGTCTTAGGTCCTTTCTGCCGATTGCAGGAGATTTAGCACACCCAAGGTGACACCGTGGAATTTGAATTCTGACTGTTCAAATTGATAACAATGCCTGTCCACAGAAGCCACTTTTGTGAAAGTGGTACCATTTCCATGAATCTGAAACCCCAAACTCCATACATTTGACGGACTTCCAGCATCAGAATCACTGGCAGTGATGTCAGAATGATCACCCAGGTGTCGGGGATCTTCCCAACGAAGATTTGCAAGCCGTTGGATGCCCGCTTCTCAGTAGCCCATGTTGCGGGGTGATCCTTGAGAGCATCCATCCACTGAGGTCGTGGTGGGGGATCCCTACATCGACCTGGGAGCTGAGCTGCTGGGCATATTTTTGTTGGCAGACCTGGTCCCCTCCCATTGGGTTCATCTCCAAGGCCCCCTGAATCCTTAGAGCCGCAAGTGGAAGATGACATCAAGCCAGAGGCCTGGGGTGGAATGGGGCGGATGGTGGCCGATTGAATGCCAAATTCAATGCAGCCCGGAGTTCAGAGGCTGTACGCACACGTCTTCACTTCCAATGGGTTTCTTAAACTTGGGATTCCACTTATCACTGAATTGTCTTATTTCTGCTGGGGAACCCACTTCTTCTTTAAGGTTTCTCCAAGTTGAAAACACACCCAGATAGGATTGGGGTCCACTGAGCTGCTTTTGCCGTGAAGGACTGTCCGGAAGGCGTTGATGAGGCCAGCATGGCTGGATGGAGACGGCAGTGGATTCCGGATGAATCAATCGGATTGGCGTTTATTCACGGCATTCTGATACGAAAGAGTTCAAAAGAACCATCTTGATTATTGTATTGAAAAACATCTACATGGGATTCCAGATGAATCAATGATGTTTCCCTCCGAGTTCTTCAAGATGAACCATTTACATCCATTTTGTCCCTGTAAAGAGCCATAAAGAATGCATGAAAACATCCATGAACCAACAAGCACTTGCTGACCCAAGCCGTTTCTGGCAGGAAAGCTTCAAGCGCATGCACGAGCTGCGTGCGGAGAAGCTTCGGGCGGAGGTGGAGGTGGCGAAAGGAGTGACATCCTCGGGCGTGGCCGTTGGCTGTCGTTGTCTAACAACGAATGATGGGGATGTAACGAAAGAAACATGCTGAAACTGGCCTGTAACTGGTTGATTCTTCATGTTTCCGATAGTGCACTGGATGATGACCTGAGTCGGAAGATCATCCCAGCTAGTGGCAAGACTGGCTAATAGCCTTCCGAGAACTATAGCATGGAACAACGAAAAAAAGGGTTCCAGATGACAGATGATTTCCCTCCTTGGAAATTATTGCAGTTTTTAGATTCCATGTGAGTTTTCATGGGTGCATCCAACGGCCCTGGATGTAGTCATGGTAGGTATCAACGGAGAACTCACCACATCCAAGGCCATGGTTCTGTCCGAAATGGGTGGATTCTTGTCTCACTTGGAGCGAGAGCAGCTTGGCGAGAGGAGCTTGGCGAGAGGTGGCAGGAGCGTCGTTGTTGGGGTTTGATGCTTTGGAACAGTCATACTCTACGAGCCTCTTTGGGGTTGGTTGGTCAAGTGATGTATTTGAGATTATTTGAGTGTCTGAAGCCATAACAGACTCTGAGAAGGTAGCAGAAGTACGCGCAGATGTAGGATTGGACATAGCAGGCAGTGGTAGGTGCAGAGATTGAACGAAATTGGTGTGTCCAAACACGGGGTACCCCGAATAGCCAATGGTTGCTGATCCTTTGTTCCTATTAAAGTGGCCGTAAAATGGCGACTTTTTGGACTAAGCAGAATGGTGAGGGTCCATCTATTTTGTCCTGGAGATTTTATTCACCTCTATGCCAGTGGAAGGAAATTACAAGCTCTTTCCTCTCGCTGATTGGTTCCAAGCTTCCATGCCATTCGCTGCACGAGATTTCCATCCATTTCCCACATAAGAAAGGTGGGCTGCGTGGATCAAACCTCGAAATACTTGCCACAAGATGCGTTGGTGAATTCAATTTTATTGTTGACTTGTCAGTTGAGACATGTTACCCTCTGGTAAACTAACATAACTATGGAAAATCACCATTTTTCATGGGAAAATCCACTATAAATGGCCATTTTCAATAGCTATGTTAAATTTCCAGAGGGTAAGACCATTGAAAACCAGTGTGAAGTTGACCCCCACAGACTCCCCAGGGATCCTTTTTTTTGGCACCACCCCGCCCGAACGCCACGCTGAGCCGCTGCCCAAGGTGCGCCGACGCCAAGGGAGACCGAGACCGCTTAGAGCGAGAACTTCGGGAACATAAGGCCAGCAACGCCAGAGATGTTGGCAATTAATCATTATGGTGAATGATTAATGGATAATAATCATTATACTATGGTTAATAATGGTTAATAATGATGATAACCATGCGCAAAGCAATGACTTTCATCGTTTGTTGAACGCTACAGTAGATATTCTGAATGGCAAGCTTAGCAGCTCACCTGGTAATGTGATGAGTGTCCTATCATCCAATATCCATCGAATTTCCCAACTCAATATTTTTTCATATTTTTTCCCTACACATATTTTTCTATTCAGACATTTTACAGCGGGAATTTTCCGGTTGCCAATTGACCACAGGAATTGATGAACAGTGAGCTCTACGACATCGAGATCCTCTTTAAGCTGAAGCAGGGTCAGGACCGCTTCCAACTGACCGTCGAGCCATCCGGGATGGGTCGATATATATATATAATATCTATGGCTTTCCAGAAGCAAGCAGGATTAGGATCACAGAACTTTTTTAAAGATTATTATTTAACCGGCTAGGTGTTCGAAACATATCACATTGCCAACAAACAACTGGAGGTTCCACGCATTTCTCTTTGAGATCTTGAAGGTATTTGAAGGTTTCATTCCACCCCAGTTGCACTTCAACCATCTGATTTTGGGCCAGGTGTGATGTGTGACTTGTGATCTTTGTGCCTCAAAAAACAACTCTTTCAAATTCAGACCAGCCAACTTTTTTGGTAAGATCGGGCAGAACATATTTTATGGCAATATTTATTTTGGGCATTACTGGGGATGGGCAAAGGTTGGTTGCCGCGATGGGATGCAGACCGAATCTATTGGAACAGGTTGAAGTGCCACAAGCTGCCGTGGTGACCGATTACTCGGATGCCATTGTGATCGACCAGGAGGTCAGCAGGATGACAGGAAACAGGAAACATAGTTGGATGTGTCTCAAGATGGGGACATATTCACCAGTTGGGGATATAGTTAAGTAGTTAAGTCAACCACCAAAATTTTGCCGGTTAAGTTAGTAACTAAGAGCCAATTTTGGGACACTGACACACCTAGCAAGATGGGCTGAAATGATCTCAAAATGAGGGACATCAAGTACTCATCAATCACCAACATTGAGGATTCAAACATGGAGATTAAGCTCACAAAAAGTTTGCATTTGGACCCACAATAACGGGACTTTCACCAATCTTTAGGCGCATTCGAAAATGGACCAGGGCCTGGCCTAATCGAACACTGGTCTCCCTGCATTGACCATGTTGGTGGTTTCTCAATCCCTAATCCTGGACATACCTAGGATTCGAAGCACTTCCAACTGACTCAAAATATCTCAAGTCCACGAATGATGCCCCAGATCAGTCCAGAATCTCAAACCTTGTGCAGGTGGTCGAATCCCGGAATAGAAGGATCACGGATCTTGGAAAAGACAAGGTTCACATCCTGACCAAGATCAAGGACTGCCACCGATCCGCTTGCCGTTCAAACATCCCCCCATCTCTGGCCAAATCGTGGCAACTTTTTCGGGGGGACACACAGAGATCAAGGCTCTTGACAGCTAACAACCTAGTGGTGTTTTTTCCTGCTTAGCCAACCAGGGAGCTCTGCCACGAGCTTGAAACTGATCTTATCTGATCTTGCACCTGGACGTTTGCTGCAAGGAGTTCCGAAAATCCTTGAGCCTGTTGGACTGGGAGCATGAAATGCTGGCGCTGCAAACCACCGATTTGGAGGCAGAATGGATGGGGGCGCCAGAGGATCTGCGAGCTTGGGAGAATCATCTTGCCATTTCTTGGGGATATGAGTAGAATAGAACAAGAAATTGGGGGAATCAACAATCAATGTGATGGTTTCCTTTGGAATGATGCTGGTCAAGAAGTGGTACCCTCTGGTAATTTAACATAGCTATTGAACATGACCATTAATAGTGGATTTCCCATTAAAAATGGTGATTTTCAATAGCTATGTTAAATTACCAGAGGGTACATCAGTTGGTTACTGCATGATCTTTGGGAGACTTTCTTTTAACATCATTCCAAAGTTATGGGACCTTTTTGCAAGATTTTCGCATATTTTAGCAACGTTGGTCCGCAACATTTTTGCTTCGAACCGAAACACAGAAACATACACTAGCATGGCCTTTGCATCCAGCACCTTGGCTTGCAGCCCATCATGCCAGGAGAGAACCAAAGATGTACATATGCTCCGTGTGACCAAGGAGAGGTGCATTTGTCTAACTGGAGGTCCAAAAGTAACATGGATAGTGTATGGCTACTTATTCAACCCATCTGAACATGGGAAGGCAGAACCAGCAAACATCCTGGGGCCGGGGATTATACTGAACCATTGGCACCTGTTGAACATGTATTGATATTATTGAATATCTATATCTGTATGTAAAACTCATACCATATGTCTTTTGAACATCTATATTAAAGATTTATTAAGATCTATTTGAAGAGATGCACATCTTATCTTGATCCAACAGCTATGCATTTCTCCTCAAACGAAATAGTGACATATCTCCACAGGACCTGCAATCTTTGCTCAAAGGTGGCGAAGAAGGTGCTGCAAACGATAGGGGGGCCGTTAAAAGATATACGGGGAATCTATAGATATCTCCCCCCAAAAAAGATAGGACGGTATATCCAGGATGGGACTACAGTACTATAGATGATGCTGTTTCCTCAAAATTCCCAGGATTTGATTTTAACTTTTCTATTTTTTTAAACCTATAGTGACTGTAGTGTTTGCTGGAATAGATTGATACATGAAGGGTATATTCCTGTGTTGCAAGTGGGCGGGTATAGCCCATCAAAGGGCCGCATTAGTCGTAATAGACCATGACATGGCGGATGACTTGGGTCCAAAGCAAGTTTTGGGACATAGCCAGTTGTCCACGTTGTCCTCTGCCAGCAGACATCCTGCTTCACTCAACCAATCCAGCTAGATGGGTTTCTACTCTTGGAAGTGATATCACATTCACAGTTGGAGGATTTCATTGGTTAGACATGATCCAACCAGAGCTGACTGTACAGTTCATCCATCCCACCAGACAGGTGACTTGGTCAGATGACTTTTTGCACTGCATTCTGAGTCTTCCATTCCAGGCAGAAACAAGGCAGAATCGGATTTGCTTGAAAGCTGGGGCCTTGGAAGCCATCAGTCCATGCCTTGGTGTATTAAATCCATCATTCTATTGATTCTATGATCCATTTCAGGAACCAGCCTGATTGGAATTTTTGGTGCCATAAACATCCATTTTAACTTACCCCACTGACAAGTAATTGGTGATTTCCCCATTGTGTGGGTCAAATGCACATTTGTGCTGCACCATATTTTTTGTGGATTATATACGTCCATATTTTTTTTGCTGGTTTATTTCCCAAGAATTGACTCGTTCGCTTTTTTTAAAAACAGCAGCTTCGAGGAAAGATCGAGCACTTGAGCGAGGCCACTGAGAAGAAGGAGCAGGCTGAATCTGTAGGTTTTTTTTTCCCATTAAACATGGAGGGCAAGTCATTGAGTCACCATGCAACCCATCAATCTGGTCATTTTTTGAACCGTGAAACCATCCATTTTGGCTGTCCAACGTCGTCCAACAACTGTTGATCCACAAGTCGGAATTTCAACCAAGGAAATGATGCTCGAGTGGGAAGTGACTTAGTCACTTTGTTATACAAGACAAGAACGTATCATCACCAAATGTTGGAAATACATGGAAATACTATATCCTCTGGTTATTTAACATAGGCCATGGTATAGATGGCCATAGATGGCCCATTTATAGATGGTTTACCTATTAAAAATGGTGATTTCCCATGGCTATGTTAGTCATAACCAGATGGTAACTGATCAATGTTGCCGCACCGTGTCTTATTGTTCAACCCGTAGGCACTGAAGAAGCAGCATTCGATGGTGTCGCATGCTGCAAAGCTCCGTGTCTTGGGCGGAAAATCAGTGGCCAAGTAACCAGTGGAGTTTGACGGTCCAGTGGGGTATGAGCCATGACAAAACTGGAGATTTGTACTGGTTGATTGATGTATGGTTGGTGTATGGTTGATGATGGTTGATAATGGTTGATGTATTGTTCATATGGTTGATACATGTTGATAAGGGATGTGACCCAAACATGATGGTTGATACATGCTGATGCAGGTTTGGACTAAGTACCAGCTTGGGCCGGGGAGTATAGAACGAGTAATCCGTACTAATCCTGTTCGGAAACTGCCCTGTTGGCAGTCATCCAATGGTCAGGACTCGGACATGCCGATATGAATTTTGCCCAGACTCTTGAAGTGCCGCCTGTCTGTGAGGAAAGAACGAGAACACGATGTTGGAGAAGCCATCCTGTCATGTCTTGAGATGTCTTGAGATGGAGGTCTGACACCTTGACTAACATCTGGGTGAAAGATGCGGTGTGTGAACGAAGGCACAAGGAGCTTGCCAGTCGACTTCCAGATTTTCCATGGCATGGTGTGCAATGCACTTTCCATCCTGGAAAAAATGTCGAAACTCTGGGGTGTTGTGCCATTCAAGGTGCTTGCAGATCAATCCAAATGGGTCATTTCCAAGAGTCACTAAAGTATCATCCATCTTTTTTTTGCCACACGTGTTTTTTTTCCATCCTTCCCTGTCCCCCAGCGCCAGGAAGCTGCGTGAGCTGCAGCAGAACGTGATCCAGAGAGAGCACATCCGTCGCCTCCGGGGCCCCGCGGGTGGCGGGCAGCAGAAGACCGGTGGTGGCGGACGGGTGGAGGTGCCTCCTGGGGGTGGCTCGGGTGGGTTTGGTGAAAACCTGGGGAAAAGTTGGGGTGTGTGATGCACCTGCTTTACCTGTGTTGGTTTGGGGAAGATATGGGAAGAAGATGTTTTTTGTTGACTTTTAGGCTGAACTGTATGGTTTTGTTTTTGATTTCTGGAAGTTGAAGCGATTCTGCAAGGTTTTCTTGGGGGTTCAGTCGAAGGGGACATACCCAAGCTGCAAGTGGAAAAGCCAAGTTCCAGTGATTTTTCAGGGGATTGGTACAACACAGGAAGATGAGGGTGCCGCCAAAGCCGCGCGGGCTGCGTTCAAGGAGGTGGGGTCAAGCTCAGTTGATGGCAGCTCGTGGGCACCCGAAAGTTCCTGAATCGTTGGTCGGTATTCATTTGACCAGTCTAAGTGGGGATTGCAGTGGCTCAGCTATAATACATACATGAGGTTGTATAATGTTGTATATATATATAGGTTGATTGCCATGTGATGATATAGTCAAGTATGCTCACTTCAGGGATCAGCACAGTATGGCTCAATCATGCTCAATCTATATGTATATACATTTGGCGGGAAAGTCATTCAAAAGAGTTTCTCATCACCAAACTAGACTATTTGACCCGGACCCAGGCAACATCGACAGTCTCCCTGTCCATTTGATGCATCTGGCCTATCCAAACTTCCACACGCCCGCTCCCATATCCATTCAACAATAGATTCCATGTCTCTGATGATATTCCTTTCTAATCTTCATGTCAAATGTATAGATAAATATACCCTCTGGTAAATAAACATAGACCCTGAAAATCCCCCCCATTTTTAATGGAAACTAGTCTTCCAACCCCGTTTTCTGCCAGGGTCTATGTTAATTTACCAGAGGGTAAAGAATATTTATAACCTCATTTGGAGGTTTCCATAAATGGGGCTACCCCATGTATGGATGATTTATAATGGAACATCCTATGATGAAAATGTATTCTCCACACCTTTGGCCGCTCAGTTGAGAAGTCGCCAAAGACTCATGGAGGCTGTCGCTGCCTCAGTGGCTAATTTCCAGCCGACCGTGGAGCCGGCCACTGGGCTGCACCGAGGCTAAGAAGAACACCGAAGAAATCGAAATTCTTCACAAGGCCACCTGGATGGATGGAAAAAAACATGGAAAACCCATGGAAAACCCATGGAAAACCCATGGAAAAATGGAAAAACCATGGAAAACCCATGGAAAACCATGGGTTTATACTATATTATACTGGGAATCATGAAGTAATGACCAGTAATCACCATGGGTGTGCTGAACAAATGCTGGGAAAAACCATAAAAGCAACAAATCTCCAGAAAACATATAAAGGCCCATGCTTGGTGTCCGATCATGTTCATTTTCCACCACGGAAATGATTGAAGATGGCCATTTTGGGGGACCATTTCACTTCTGATAAAGCCACTGGGATGTTTAGACAACTGTTGGATGATTGTATAAAGGATAATGAGTGGACTTAACCACTGGGGACATCATGAGATTGTTGATACCTGTTTGATATAGGAAGACGGAAACGGCAGGAAAACACTTCAACAACAGAAGATGTTCACAAAGTTGGGGATAGAAGGATGTAACTGCAACCGCGATGATTGGTTTTGGTCGTTTGATGATCTGTTGGCCGAACATGGGGGTATCATACCATATCATACCCAGCCACTTTTTCCAAGCCTTTTACAGGGCATCTCAGATGACTGTAGCATTATAGATTAGATTACCCCCAAAAAGGATGGGTAACCAACAAAAAAGACAACAATCCAAGATCAATCTAACACTAGTCACTAGTCCAACCATATCACCATATCCAATTAATCTATGTATGTTTTCACCAGGTTCCTGGACGCCAAACACCCAATGGACGCCAGGAGCTGGACCGACTGCGGCAGAGAACCTTCCCGTCCTTTGTCCAGTTGCACGAGGACTGGGTTTTATCCTGCTGTCATTGAAAAGTTTGGGTCCAAAGTTGTCCAAAGTTTTGGGGATCCCATGAATCATCATAGTAATTTTTTGATGGTTATAGTTATGATCCATTATTCTGATCCATTATTATTATTAATCATCCAAACTATACCTCCAATGTAGGCAGAATGGATCGGAATGGCAGAGTTGAGATCACTAGAAGAACTTCCCCTTGCGGAAATGAAGCAACATGTTAACTGAGAAGTGTCTTCTGGGGGTTCCCTACTCAGGACAGGCCGTCCAACCCCGACTTCAGATGATGCTGTACGATAAAAGACAGCATTTTCCAGGATACTGGGACCCTGCAAAACAGAGTTCTCAGTCTCAGTTTCACCCAGGCAGATTAAGCTCGGTTGTCAGAGCTTTTCGCCCAACATCAACAGCCAAGCAGTAAAATTTTGGCCAGACGAAAGCCTCTGACAAGCTTCCAAGCTCACATTCCAGATGCCCAAACTGGTCAACTGGACGGTCTCACTTTGCATGTTTCGACGTGTCAAGTGATCACCCATGAAAACAGAGGGAAGGCACCACCCTTGAGTCCACCCTTGAGTCCACCTGGCTGCTTTTATATGCGTTCATGCTGTTGATCGTTTGGTTCAAAGATGATATGCCATGGCCCACGTAGTCAACCATGGCTTCTGAGTCTCCTAATTAGATTGGAAAGATATGACTAGACCTCAGCAGTGGATCATAGTGGATCAGATTTTTTACTCAGTCATCCCATGTCATCCCCATTGTTGGTCGAAAGCCTTTGTGGCTGCTGCTGTTGTCAATTGCCAGCCGGTTCCCAACTGGGACGATCATCTAACAGTGCTTGGTTTGTGTTGGTGTCAAAGTGGTTCCGTTCTTAACTTGGAAAGATGGTGTGAAGCTGGTTGAACACATCAACCATGCAACCATAGCCATATCATATATATATATGATTATATATGACCTATATATATATATACATACAGTACATACATACACACACACACATATATATATATACACATCGTATATACAGTATATATATATGTATCTCTATATCATATAGCCATAACATAGCCATGACATGAGATCCACCTTGCGCCACCGCGGCCGGCTCAACTGTCAAGATCCGTGGTAGTTTTTTCGGGTGGCGCCTTGTGGCATCCGTGACGTCTAGGCGGGCGGTGGATTTGATCAACGAAAACAGGGAAGATCATGGAGATCTTACGATGAAAACTTGAGGATTTCATCAACCAACATGTTTTTTTTGATTTGATCATCAAGATTTTCATCAAGATTTTCATCAAGATTTTCATCAAGAAGCATCTAACATCAGGTTTTTGGACCTGTATTGGTAAATCAGATATATAAATCAGATGTAACATGATATAACCGATATAACATCTCAAATCACATGGAAACATATCGAAACAGCTATGGGATCGCCCCGGCAAGGTGCAGCCATGAGAATTGAGAAGTCTGTAGCTCAGACATCGCAGCGAATCAGATTCCTTGGACCTGACAATGGCATTCATAATGGATCTCAGGATGTCTCAGGTATAATAACTGAGTCGTGATATTTCCTCCTTTCACTGGTATGACCCATATATATGACCCAAGTCTTTGAGGATGCATTGACAAGCCATTTCCAACGTGCCGTGACAGCCTTGCTGCACCTAAGGTGCTGGTTT